TGGCGGTGAGCGACGAGTCATGTTAGCTCGTCGCAGGCGATGGGCTCGAGGAGCCGATTGGAGCGTGGCAGAGGCCGCCGACCGCTGCCGTTCGCCCTGGGGCCCAGGGGTGGGAGGCAAGCTTCTGGGCGTTTCTGGGGAGCGTCGAGCCCCCCCAGAGGATTCGTCACATGCTAGGGGGGGGGTCCCGACCCCCCCAGAGGCTTCACCACATGCTAGGGGGGGGGGGGGCGTGAGCAGAAGCGCGCCCCCCTCCCTGGAAGCGATGTGCGCCTGCTCCGGCTCGCTCCGCTTGCCGGTGAGTTGGTTGGTTGCTGGCAGCACCCCAGCACCTGGGGGTCCTGAGAGGAGTTGGTTGCCGCTCGATTCACAGCACAGTGCAAAACTAGGGTTGCAACCTCGTAAAAAGACGGCTCGCAGGCGTTCCGTCGACCTCGCTCAAAGCGACGGCCGGGTGTGGGCTGCTCCCTTGCCCCGTCACCCGCCGCGCCCTCGCCCGGCCGCCTCACCGCGCACGGAGTGTTCGGCTCCTCCCCCCCGCCGCCGCGCGTCCCTCGCCGCCACGCTTGCCCCTACCTGACACGCTTGCCCCCTACCTGCCCCCTACCTGCACCAGAGCGCGCGTCGCTGGCACACACGCGCCCTCCAAATCACTCAACTCTCCCCAAATTAATTACCTTATTCTTTATCCATTAAAATAAACACACACACCTTGATTGGTTTTTTGATGGCATAGGCCACACCTTTATAGGCCGCTGAAAGTCTGCAACTCGTATCAAATCATGCAGAGGTGGCCGAGTTGGTCTAAGGCGCTGGATTAAGGCTCCAGTCTCGTAAGGGGCGCGGGTTCGAATCCCGTCCTCTGTACTGAACTCGTGTATATCTGTCCCTGCACGGGGAATCCCTTTTTCTCGTGCTGTACTAGGGTGCTGTTTTTTTGTTGGTTTCGGGATTTTGTGTTCCTGTGCTGTTTTTTTGTTGGTTTCGGGATTTTGTGTTCCTGTGCTGTTGTTTTGTACGGCAGTTTCTTTTTTATTCGTTTTGGGATTCTGTGTACTACGGGTTTATTTTTTGTTGGTTTTGGGGTTTTGTGTTTGTTGTGTTCCTGTGCTGCTTGTTTGTACTCCGGGTGTACTACGGTGTCATTTTTTTTTGTTGGTTTTGGGATTTTGTGTTTTTTGTGTTCCTGTGCTGCTTGTTTTGCATGTACTGGCGGGTTTCTTTTTTTGTGGTTGGGATTTTGCGGTTTACTGTCGGTCCTCCTTTGCACTAGCCTACTTGTGTGTAATCGGGTGCCTCTTTCGAGAGAGAGAGAGAGGTTTTCAGCACACTGTAGCCGTTTTTTTCTCGGCTTTGGTTTTGGGCCTGTGTGCAGGCTGAGGCCTTCTTCTCTTGTACTTACAGCGAAGCGACGGAGCGTACACGCACTCCAGGAGACCCAAGGAGATGATCCCATGCCAACTACATCAGGGTGCGCCACGCGTATGCCCCAAGCGCAACTACGAACAGGGTACACCATAACTCAACGTGTACAGAGGCGCGGAATATATGGTTTTACGCATGCAGGAGTGCGATGATAGGGTGCCCACACGGCCCAAAAAAGAAAGGAAAAAGAAATGGGCCACCCCCGATCGCAGCACTTCGTGTTGGCCAGTCGAGAAATTGAGAGTGTGACTAGGAGGGTGGGACGCTGGGGATTCTCAAAGGTACCCTGCCGCGGCCTGCGTTGCAAGGAACTCGCGCAGCTGCAGGCGCACGCGCCGAAGCTGCACCGACAGCGCCGGCCCGTGGGGCGCTAGCATCGGCTGCTCGTCGCCACGCGCAGCCTCGTCCTGCCGCTCGTCGTCCTCCGCCTCGAGGACGTCCGCCAGCGCGCTGCGCCGCACACCCCGGCACGCGGGAGGCGGCGCCGGCCGCACCTCGGCCGCCTCGGCGGCACCCGCGGCACGGGCGCCCTCGCCGTCCGCGCGGTCCATCGCCGCATCCCCGTCCACGTCTGCGGCGGCGCCTCCTGCGCCCGTGCCGGCCTGCTCTGGGACGGCTCGCCACCGCTCGTCGTCCAGCATGTGCCACCACCGCCGATCCGGGTAGCCGTCGTACTCGACCTGGTGCGCGATCCGTCCGTCCCCGTCCTCCTCCCGGCCCATGACGGTCGCGGGGTACCACCGCTCGGTGTCGCAGAAGATCTCGAGGCGCGATCCGGTGGGCAGGACAGTGTGGCCGTTGAGCGCCGCCCTGCCATCCTCGCGCTGTCGCTTCCGCCGCTTCGCCTTCGTCTCCTTGCTGCGCAGCAGGGTGTAGTTCGGGCCCGCCTCCGCCACGCTGTCCAGCAGCTGGACGGCGCTCACCATCTCGACCGCGTCGTCCTCCGGCGGAAGCTCCGCGTTGCCCGCGGCCGCCTCCCGAGCGCGCTCGTCGCGCATCCGCTCGTGGTGGGCCTGCCGACGCGCCACGCCGGCGCCCGTGTGCCTCGCCGCCGCGTCCGGCGACGGCATCGACGCTGTCTGCCCGAGCGTGACTCCCAGCTCCACGATTTGCGGTCGACCAAATTTGGCTGCCCCCATCAAAGTTGACTCCCTTCCTTAGATACATACATACCCTTGGAATGGCCGGATCCAGCCTTAAGAGTACGAGATCGCGCGCGCTTCGCGCACAGCACCGCCTGTTCTCCGCGGCTGTGTGACGCGCGCGTGCCGTGTACCAGCAGGGTTGGGCGCGCGCGGCGCGACGGCGCCCGCGAGGGACGGCGCGGGTGCAGCGGCCGCCGGCGGCCGTGCCGCCCGCCAGCCGGCGCAGCAGCGGCCAGCGCAGCGGCCGCCGGCGCAGCAGCCAGAGCAGCCGGTGCGCGCCTTGCGAGGCGAGTACTGCCGCCCGGCAGCCTTGAGGCGGCCGGGCGGCAGTACTCGTTCGAACTTTGCGAGCCGTGCGCGCGCCGGGCGCCCGCGGCGCGCGCCCGCCCGGCTGCCAGTAGGTGGCGGCGCAATATGGCCTATAGTACAGCCCTTGAGGAGGAGGAAGAGGCTGGCTGGCAGTGCTGTATGCCGCCGAGGGGCAGTTTTGGGGGGCTGACCCACGCCCAGGGGGCTGCAGAACGCGTCCGCAGCCGGGACAACCCGCCCCCCCAGCCGAGGCCGGTCGAAGCCCACTTGGGAGCAGCCATGAGGAGTCCTCTTGGTGCTCCTGGCGCCCGTTGGAATGGCGAGCGCGCGCCGATGGGGGGGGGGGGGGGTCTTGCTTGCTCCACACCGAGCGCCCACGGTCCGGACCGGTGCTCCCACCGAGGGTCGGCTTGCACAAGGTCTGTGCCGCGGGCGCTCGGCGCCAAGTGCAGTGTCACGCTCGTGCTCGCGCGTGACAAACCGGGGAACCCTCTTTTCCTATGTACTCGGTCCCCCAACGGAAGAGGCCTCTCTCCTATTGAAACTGGCCAACATCAGATTTGCCGCGTGCGTCCCTTTTTGAGCCGGAAAGCTATTTTCTTTTGGGTCCTGTGGGCACCCTAGCGATGAAGTGAGACGACGCGGAAGGCGCTGTAGTGCGACTTACAGTGCCGGATGCGCCGCGACCGAGAGGTCCTCACTGCACTGGTTGGGTAGTAGTCTAAGTTCTGAGCCTCGAGGCTGAGCGGGTCTAAGTGTGACTAGTCACGCTGGGGTGCTTACGCGGTCTAAGATCAGCGAGAGCCTCTTACATCGGCTAAGTCGGCCGTGGCACAGCCTGGGGCCAAGAGGCTCCCACCGTGATCAACGATACGGCGCTAGCCCCCAAATTTTCTTCGCCTACGGCGGGCGCCTTCTAATCCGGATCGATCCTTCTCATGCTCAGCAATCGCCGCCTCAGCATCCTCCTCTTCCGATTCTCGTTGCTCTTCTTGAGCGCAATCTTCAAGCCAAACAGTTCTCACAAATAGCCTCAAGCTCAAACAAACGCATGTCAAGGAAGCCTGTGTATGCTGGTCCTCTTTGAATGATCCGCGCGTGAGGTAGATCTAGCATAGGGCCTTGTTGGCAGCAGCCAGCTTGTTGCGCTGCTTCGTTGCGATGAGCTGATTGGGATCGCAGAAGTGCATGCCAAGCACCGCCACGATCTTGAAGCAGAACACATCGCAACCGCATCGTCCGCACTGCCATCGGCATGCCGCGCCCGCCGCTTCGCCGCAGCCGCCTTAAGACACGCATAGCGGCAGCACATGGTACGGTGCGCGTACTTGAGCAGGAGTTGCGCGCCGCAAGTAGCGCACTGGCCCTGGGACAAGGCGATATGGCGTCGTGCGCGGCATACGTGTTACGTTGGTCGGGACGCGTCCAGGTATTTTTCGGGTAAACCTGGACTTTTGCAGGTATACCCGGGTTTTACCCGGATTTGGCCTTGTGCCGTCTAAGTTCATGGCCCCCGACCATACAGCGTCTAAGTCCGAGCCCGGCTCCGTGCGGGGGCTAAGTTGAGCGCTCGCTCGCTGCAGAGGCTAAGTGTAGAGCGACCCTCTAGCCCTACTACCCAACCATTCTCACTGCGTCAAACAGAGGTCCTCACCGTGGCACGCGCGCGCGCTCGACCTATGCAATAGAACGCGGGCAACGCTGCAGGACGAGGGATGGGAGACGCCTATCGCGGGAGGCGCGGGCGTCGAGTTCCGCATCGTGACTGACAGAGGTCCTCGGGAGGCGTGGGCGTCGAGTTCCTCATCGTGACAGACAGAGGTCCTCACCGTGCGCGCGCGCGTACGCGCGCGCGCCCCTGAGGACCTTTCGCAGTGAGGACCTTATGTTGCGGCGCCTCCTGCGCTGTAGGCCGCACTGCTGCCGCGCGAGCACGCTGAGGACCTCCATCGCATTCCTGCATACGCTGAGGTGTCAAATGCACACCGGCCAGCGGGTGGCATCGCGGATATTGGACGGAGCTGAACGTATGAACTATAACTATAGTGTGTGGCAGAACGTATGCTATAACTATAGTGTGTAGCGTGCTAGTGCGGCCCACCCGTTGAATAAGCCGTTTCTATAGTGTGTAGCGTGCCATTGTGGTTGTCCTCGCCGCCCAGCTGTTCGAATGCGTAAGCCTCCTTGAGTGTACTCGCGGTTTTCTTTTTTTGTGGTTGGGATTTTGCGGTTTACTGTCGGTCCTCCCGTGGCGGGCCGTGTCCGCTTTTTGTCGTTGAATCAAGTCAACGCTCATTTATCCTACTTTTCTTTCGCCCAAGCGCATCCCTCTCACTCTCACAACCGCGTGACACCGCTTCCGGTCGTGCCCGTGTTCTCTCTCTCTCTCTCTCTCTCTCTCTCTCTCTCTCTCTCTCTCTCTCTCTCTCTCTCTCTCTCTCTCTCTCCCACCCTCTCTCTCTCTCTCTCTCTCAAAAGCGAGGGGGGGAGGGGCATCGCGGCGCGCGGAGAGGGCTGGGCACAGGGGGCAGCGGATCTCTCATCTCTGGCGCATAGGAATACGCACTCGGCCTCTTCTCTTCAAAAAGAAAGAAAGAAACCGCAAGGCCAAGCAAAAGCAAAAGGCTCGTTTCTTCAAGCAACGTGCCGGCTGCCAAGCGACCCCAAGCGACCAGCCGACCATCCAAGCGACCATCCCTGGTGATGCTCCCCGAAATCGCAGCGCTCTTCGACGACGACCCTCCGGCCGCCGACGATCCTCCGTCCGGCCCCACCAGCCCTCCGCCACGCGCTGAGCCGGCCGCGGAGCCGGCAAAGCGCTCCGCCGCAGAGGCGCCCACGCCGTCGACCGCGAGGCGCAAGGTGCCGCGCCTCGGGTCCGGCGGCGCGTCGGCGGCCTGCGGCGCGGACGCGCGGCGCGCGGCGCGCGAGGAGCGGTACGGCCTCGTGCCGCCCGAGCTGATGCACCTCTTCAACGTCGCCAACGCGCTCGTCAAGCCGCGCCTCGAGGCCTTCTTCTTCGCCGTCGCGCGCGAGCTGCCCGAGCTCAGCCAGTTCTATGGCACCAACAAGAGGCGCGAGTGCGTGTACCGGAGGGCGGCCAAGGCTGTCGGGATTCGCGGGCGCGACCGCGCCGCGGCGCGAGGGCAGCGCGTCCTCTGCCACGTGAGCCGGCAGCGGCACGGCGCCAACGCGCTGTCTGGCCCGGACTCGCACGCCGACATAAAAAACCCGCTCTGGTTCGAGCCGGCGCCGCGCAACATCAAGCGGCGCGGCGCGGCGATGGCGCCCGGCACGCAGATCGTTCTCGCCGAGGGCCTCAGCGACGAGCAGCAGCAGCAGCAGGAGGACGGCGACGACGACGACGACGAGGAGGAGGAGGAGGAGGAGGCGCCGGCGGGCGACTTGGAGGATGGCGCGCTGGCGGCGCTGCAGGACACGGTGGCGGAGTTGCAGTGCGTCCCGCCTCGTGCCAGCGACGAGGAGATGGCCACATCGGCGGTGCGGGAGGCCGCCAACCTGGACGTGACCACGCGCACCGTCGAGGACATCGAGGAGGAGGTGCGGACGGCGGCGGGGTGGGTGGCGGCGCTGCGGGCGTTCGCGGCGGTGGCAGGCGAGGGCGCTTGCCTCGCCACCGAACCGGTCTCGCCCTTTGTCCGCCACGTCATCCACTACTACGTGAGCGTGGTTGGCGCCAGAGCAGGGCTCGCTCTTCAGGACGAAAAGAGCGCTGACACAGAGGCGCGGCGGCAGGTCAAGCCGATGCGGGTCTTCTGCGTCGGGGAGGACCCAAGTCCGCCTGCGCTGCCTGCACCCGTCCTCGCGCCCGCAATGTCCGCGCTGCCGCGGCCACAAACGCCGCCCGGCCAGAGGGCGCCAGAGCAGTGCCCGCCTCGGCAGCCGCCGCCCCGGCCGTACCCGCCTCAGCAGCCGCCGCCGCCGCCCGCGGGCCCCTCCGCCTTCCGCACGTACCTCGACACGCCCTTCGCGCAGAAGGACGCCTGCAAGGCGCTCGGAGGACGGTGGGACAGGAAGCGAAAAGCGTGGTACGCGCCGGCGGGCGTCGACCTCACGCCATTCGTGCAGCAGTGGTGCCAGCGACACGACCTCAACGCGCAGCGAGTGCCGTGAGGTGGCTAACAGGAGAGAGATCGCAGCAGAGAGAATATTAGGAGGCAGAGCGCGTGCCGTCTATGCAGGCTGTAGGGTCTTGCGCGGCACACGCAGCAGCTCGGGCTCTATAGAGCGGCTAGCGCGCCAACTCGGGATCTCGGGTACCGCGGGCCAAGGTGGCGCCCGACGGCGCGTGTGGCGTGTGTCGCCCCTTGTTCCCAAGCGCCGGGCGTGGGGGGGGGGGGTCTCAGAGACCAGGGTGACTGTCTCAGCTCCCCGGCGGAAAAAAAATCTCGTATACAAATGAGACTAAAAATGTGGTAATGACGACCCGACGCGTGTGTAAACCGCCTCGAAGACACGACGGACAACGGTACATAGCGGTACCCACCCGGCGGTCGGGCCAGTCACCCTCTAGGCGGCGCCCGCCTTCTTCTTCTCGCCGCCTCGCCTCCGCTCCTTCTTCTTGAGCGAGTCGAGCGACACCTGGCCGGCGGCAGGGTCGAGGTCGGAGCCTTGCGCAGGGATGGATGGCGCAGAGGAGCAAGCGCCAGAGGGGCACGCGGTCGGGCAAGCGGCGGAGCGCAAACGGCGTCGGTGGAGGCGGCGCCGGTGGCGGCGGCACGGAGGGAGGCGCTTGGGCGGCGCGAGAGACGCGGGAATCGGCCGAGGGGAGGCGGTGGCGCCCGCCTTCATGATGTTTGCGTACGACTTCATGAAGCGGCGGTGGTCCTTGGCGGCGACCATCGTCGACGCCTTGGGGCATGCGGCGCACCGTGAGGCGCGGGCCCGCTGGCCTTCAAGCCGGTCCGGTGCTGGTGTGCGGCAGTCGTGCTGTGCTGGTGGGCGTGGCGCGTTATTGCCTTGGTGCTGCCGAGCACGGCGCGAACGAGGCAGCGGCAATCGGCGGGGTCGACCGGCTCGCCCCGCTTGCCCTCAATCCCCGCGTCTGCACGGGGCGGGCGCGGCACGCTCAGGCGCGCTGCAGCGGCGGCGGGCGCGGCCGGCGCAAACGCACATCGCTTCATCGTGACGTAGACGGCGCCCTTCTCGCGCGACCGCTCCAGCATGCGCGTGAGCTGCGTCAGGAAGCCGTCGGCGTCGTGCAGCACCATGACAGGCGCACGCTGCACGGCTCCAGCGGCGTGTTGTCGAGTGTTGGCAAAAGAAAATTCGCGATAGGCTGTTTTCTTTCTTTCTTTCTTTTATCCCTCGTTTTGGTGTTGGTTTTTTCTTTCTTTATTTGTTGGCAAAATATGTGGTTTTCTCCCAAACCCAGGGCTCGTACCAGCTTGGGGACCACTGCGGCCACGAGCGAGAGCGCGCGGGAGAACAGCGTTGTAGGTAGGTAGGTAGTAAGGTGAAGAACAGCCAGGCTCGGACTGGACACCAACGCGGTATGGGTGGACGCGCGAGCTCCCAAACGGCAAGGAGCCCAAACCCAAACCATGGCGAACGCTGAGCCAAGCTTGATCCTCTCCGACCTCTCGCCAGATCTGCTGCGGCTCGTCTACAACAAGGTGGCCAATCCGTTGGCCCCCCTCGCCGCGATTTCATTCGGCAGCACGTGCAAGAGTTTGCGCGCAGCTGTGCGCAGCCGCGCTGCACCCCACGACCGCTCCGCTGAGGAGCGGCTGCGGCGACAATTCGTTCGAGTGACGGTGTTCGCCCGGGCGACCGAGTTTGTCGCGGTGGACTTTCGCAGTGGCGAGGCTTTGACTTTCGGCGAGCTCATGACTTCAGGCTGGATCAACCAACTTCAGAAAGTAAAACTACGAGGGCTGGACAGAGCACCAGAGAATCAGGCGGTCGAGCCGCCGCCGTGGGGCTTTGCAGACGAGCTCCGCGAGCACGGCGAAACCAGGCATCTCCGCCTCCCCCTTCGATTTCCGAACCCGGAGACGGAAGAGGCACAGTGTGCAACAGAGGTGATGTGGTGGGAGGTTTTCAGGACAGCCGCTGAAGATGACTACAGATTGGGGCCAATAATCCGCGCGCTCACGGGTGGCGCGCTGCCGCGGCTGCTCCACCTCGACTTCGGCGACAACAAGCTGGGCGACTCCTTCTGCGTAGGGCTTTCCGCAGCGCTCTCAGCGTGCACAGCTTTGCAGGAGCTGTACCTGGATCGCAACGGCATCACCGGCCACGGCGTGGCTGCGCTGGCTGGCGCACTGGGGGCCGGTGCGGCGCCGCATCTCAGGATTTTAGGGATGCGCGACAACTTCATCGACGACGCCGGCCTCGGGGCGCTCGCCGAGAGCGGCAAGCAGGGCCTCCAGCGGCTCGAGGTGCTCCTCGTCGACTATTACCTGGACCTGGAGTCTGGCGCGCCGCAAAGCGGCCTCTCCGCCAGCGGATTCAACACGCTTGCCGCTGCCCTTCGCGACGGCGCGTTTCCGGCGCTAATTTACTTGGCAGCCGGGTCCCTGGATGGGGGGGAGCTTGTGCAGCTGAACAGTGCTTGCGATACGCGATCAATCCGTCGAGATTTTGTGATTGAGGAGGTGGATTGATTGGTGTACTTTAGAAACTACCTTTCACAATATTCAATATATACTTTTCCTCCCTTTACTTTTATTACGGCTTCTCTCCCTCTTCTGTGGTCTTAGGAGTTAGAGGTGCTTCGGTGTGGGGTGTGTGGCGAGGAGGGAGAGGAGACGGGGTGGGAATACCTGTGCAAATGGGAGGGAGATTGGGAGGACTCGTGGGTGCGGCACGACGAGATGGGCACCACAGAGGTGAGGAGGGACATGGAAAGGGCCAGGCGGCTGCGACGCGTCGCGGCCACCTTTAGGGAGTGGCTTAGAGGCGGAGGCGCGACGCAGGGAGAGAAGCGCCGGCCTCGGGAAAAAGAAAGCCGCGGGCGCCCTGGCCACGTGTGACGGAGCCAGGAAAGACGGGTGGGAAGTAGTACTAGAGGCTTTCCTTGGGTACAGCACAGCGGCGAAGGAGGTGTGCATGGGCGAGGTCCCAACCTCGCCGAACACACTTTCAGAGGCGGACTGGCAGTGGCGCACACTCTATCTCGGGAGTAAGGACAAGACGGCAACGGGAAAGGAGGATGGCAAGAAGGTACAGGGGACGCCCGGGCTGGAAGTGAGTAAGGCGTGGGAGGAGGAGATACCCGAGGATAACAAGGTGACCCGGGAGGACACGAGGCGGAGACTAGCGTAGGGGAGGAGGAGGCGGCGGGAGGAGACGGTGCGGGCGTGGCACCGCGACGCATCAACAAGCGCCAGCGGATCAAGGATCAGCACGGCGAGCGCGAGATTGAATTCGCCGACGTGGATGATCATAACGTGGTGACAAAGACCGTCATGGGAGCGCGTGTGCGGCAGCAGGCGGGGGTGCCACACGGAGCGCACCACGAGAGGATTATGCGGAGAGAGGCGGGGAGAGAGACCCCGGGCGCCGCCACAAGGAGCGAACTCAGGGGCGGCCTCGTCTGTAAGGCCGCGAGGGACGCGGCGAGGAGGGCGGCACTAAAGCGGGACCCGCTGTGTCCGATCGTGCGGAAAGCCGCGCAGCAATGGACCGAGGAAGATGAGAACCCGCCTAGAGCGACGATGGCGCACTTGCTTAGCGGCGCTGCCTGGGGAATAGGGAGCAGGCCAGATGGTTCCTCAGGGTAGCGCGAGCGCAGACGGGGACGGCGATCAGCAAAGTAGCCCAGGCGGCACCCGACTCCAAGGAGACGCTGAAGACGCTGAGGATAGCGCATGTCGCTGCGCTGAAGGGCTCACGCTATAGGGTGCTGGATGAGGGGACGGGTACGATGCACTGGCCCCAGCCGTCGGGGGGGTGTTGCCGGCGCTGGTAGATGATCTCTCGGAGAAGAGCCGGAGGACAACCTGATCCTGCCTCCGGGGGCGAGGGCGACCGTCGTCGGGCTCGTCTCGCAGCCGCGCTGGAACGGGTCCACCTGCAAGGTGGTCTCCTTTGACCGCGAGCGGCGGCGCTACACCGTCCAGATGAAGGACGAGTCGACGCACCTCGCCCTCAAGCTCGAGAGCCTCCGGCTCTGACACAGATTCTAGCCGCGGTCGCGCACCTGACAGAACTCTCGTATCTCCTAGATAAAGCCGTTTCTTCGCGACGAGATCGCGTTTAAAGCCTATCGGCTTTATCTTACATTATATGATATACATCTTGATTCTTGATCTTGACGCATGACGCATGTCGGACTTCGGCGCGCGTCTGCCTCTCCCTATCTCTCTTCGCAGTCCCTCGCCGATTCTCGCTGCGTCGCTGCGGTTTTAACAATTCTTTTTGAGCTTAGCCTTCGATGTTATAAAACAAACGCAAGGCGGACATGGCATATCGCTCTCGGGCCCACAGACATCCCGCACACCCGCCGCCCCCGCGCGCGCCCCACCTCGGCCGGGAGAAAGGGGAGTGACAGTTTGGGATGAACAGCCCGAGTATGTTGAGTCCTGGCTCAACAACGCAGGGAACAAGAGGGGGTGGTCCGGCTCACAAGTCCGGCTCACGCGCCTCGAGCTTACCATCTACCGCACTGAACACTTTCGCCCCCTCGCTCCCAACCCATCCACCCCGCCCCGGGCCGCGCCGCGCGATCTCGGGCGATCTCGCGCTATCTCGGGCGATCTCGGGGCCGCGCCGCGCTATCTCGGGCGATCTCGGAGCGTCGCTCGCGCGGCGTCACACCTGCTCAAAAAGGAAGGGCCTGGTTGGAGCCACGGGGCTCACGAGGACGTGCTCGCTCGGTTCTCGCCGCCTCGCCCTGCGCCACTTGGGCCGGTGAGGCGGCGTCCCGCGCGGCGCGTCCCTCGCCCCGTCACGCCGACCCCTGCGCGCACCGCTCATCTTCAGCCCTCTTGGGGTTACTCTTGCGCTCACGCAGGGGAACCCGGCGGTACTCCCTTCCCCCCACCTCCGACGGGTTAGGTCGGTTCTGCGCCCCTTGGCGCCTGTGCATGTCCCGCGTGCCCGCCGAAAAGAAAGAAAGAAAACAGACACGCCAAACGAGGGATGGGACGAGGACAGGGTCCCCACCTGCACGAGCAGGATTTTGGAAGAACGATCAGGGGGACAGGTGGGGCTCTCCTGCTCCTGACAAGGGACACGACAGGCTCGCAGCGCGGTGCCCGCCTGCCAGGGCTCATGCGCGGCCAAATTCTTTTTCCCTCCTTCGCGCTTTGCGGGCCGCGCCTCTCCTTCTCAACCCGACTCCACGATGTCGACGAGCAGCCTCTACGAGCTCCTCGGCGTCCAGGCCGACGCCGACGCCGCCGCCATCAAGCGGGCGCGCATCGCCGCGGCCCGCTCCACTTCCCCTAATCTCTCTCGCCGCACTGATTGCGCCGCCGACTCCCGCCAACTGCAGGCGTACCTCAAGGCCGCGCGCGACACGCACCCCGACAAGAATGGCGGGGACGAGGCGGCGACCGAGCGCTTCCAGCAGGTCGGCCGCGCGTACGCCGTCCTCTCCGACGCCGAGAAGCGCAAGCTGTATGACGAGACGGGGATGGTCGACGACGGTGCCGCCACTCCCACGCCACTCTCTGCCGTCCAGCAACCGCTCGCCGCCACCACTGCCATCGCCCGCCACACCGCCGCAACCACGACGCGCATCGCTTCCGCCACCGAGCCACCGCCGCCGCCGCCGCCGCCTCACCACCGCCGCCACCCGCCTCCGCCTTCCCGGTGGCCGCAGGCAGCGGCGGCGGCGGCGACGCCTCCTACTGGCGCGAGGCGTTCGAGCGGGTGAGCCTCGAGAAGCTGGACGCGCTGGCGGCGAGCTACCGCCACACCGAGGAGGAGGCCGCCGACCTCCGCGCCCACTACATCGCCGCCAAGGGAGACATGGGCAAGGTGATCACACGCCACTAGACACGTCTGAGACGCGTCCACGACACGTCGCGTCTCAATGACGCCGTCTCACTGGCGCATCCCCACCGACACGTCCTCGACACGTCCTTGACACGGCATTGACGCGCGCTCCCAGTGGCACGTCTCCAGCGACACGTCCATGACACGTCCGTGACACGTCCTCGACACGTCCTCGACGCGTCCTCGCAAGGTGATGGACGCGATGATGTTCTCGACCGCCGACGACGAGCCGCGCTTTCGCGAGACGCTGCGCGGGCCGGCCGAGGCGGGCGAGGGGCCGGCCTCGGGACACGTCCGGGACACGTCTACCACGCGTCCTCAGGCGGGGGCTGGTCGAGGCGGGCGAGCTGCGGATGTACCGCCAGTTTGAGGGCGAGAAGGACAGCAAGCGGCTCCAGCGCGAGCGGCGCGCGGCGAAGGAGGCGGCGGAGGCCGAGGCGAGATCGAGCCGGGATCGAGCCGGGATCGAGCCGAGATCGAGCCGAGATCGAGCCGAGATCGAGCCGAGATCGAGCGAGATCGAGCCGAGGTTTGCGCGCCACCAAGGAGGCTGCTTCGGCCTCGGCGGCAGAGCTCTGCCTCTCGCTTCGTGAAACTTCCCCGAGCCTTCCCCGAGCCTTCCCCGAGCCTTCCCCGAGCCTTCCCCGAGCCTCCGCTCCCCCCCCCTTCCCCCCAGGCGGCGGCGGCAGAGCTCGGCCTGAGCGGCGGCGGCGACGACGCGCTCAAGAGTGCGCTGATGGCGCGTGGCGCGGCGAGGCAGAGCGAGTTTGGCTCGATGCTGCAGTCGCTGGAGGAGCGGTATGCGGGAGGCGGCAAGGCGGGCAAGGCGGGCGGGCGTAGATGCGATACACGCGTTGCAGCCGGCACGTCCTTGCGCCCTGTGGAGGGCCGTCCTCATTCCACGCCACGGGACAACAGAGCGGTGGACCACGGACGCGGGGGATGCGGCTGCGGCCACGGGAGCGCCACCGGAAGTTCGATTCGGAAGCGCCGCGGCGGTGTGTTCGCTCTGCCCTCAGCGGCACTCTGCCCTCAGCAGCACACACTGTCAGCGGCACTCTCCCTTCGGCAGCACGCACTGCCTTCTGGCGGTGCGGTGGCCCCGGGTCTGCAGCGTCAAACGCGCCGCCCCGACGCCGCTGCAGGCCGCGGCGCGGTGCGCCCTCACCGCTCCCTCTCTGTCTCCGACAGGCGCCAAAGGGCGGCAAGAGCGGCAAACAGCGGGGTGGCTCCGCCTTGCCCGAGGACCCGCTGAGCGACGAAGCCTTCGCCGCGGCGCAGCAGCGAGTGCAAAAGCGCGGCAGGGCGGGACGCTAGTCGCTCTAGGAATGCCGCGCCACGGCGCACAGCAGACTGGCCGGGCCGTGGCGGGTTGACTTGTACCTGTGTTGAGCGTCGAGGCGCGTTCGTATGGCCGCTCACCCCTTATACCGTCGGCCACCGCGCACGGCACCGCGCGCGCCGCAGCCCGCACGCCGCAGCCGCACCGTGGTCCGTGCGACCGTGTCCCCCTCCCCGCTCCCCGGCACACCACCACGGCTCCCGCGCGTTGTTTGGTGATGGCATATCTTTGAACGTAATACCCCGCGACGACAAAACCTAGTAAACCCTACATGTAAGCTGTTTTCCAGTCATGGCCATCCCCTAGGGCGCGAGCGAGATGGGGAGAAACGGAGTGTGATGAAAGAGCGAGATCATCCCCCCGAGAGAACAGAGATATGAGCCGGGGAGCGCCCGGCGTCTAGGCAAGGAGTGTCGCCTACGAGATCTGGCCGCAGTCGGCGATCACCACCGGCTTGGCCGTCTTGCCCGACTGCGAGCCGACCGCCTCGATCGCCTTGACCACCTCCATGCCCTTGGTGACGGAGCCAAAGACGACGTGCTTGCCGTCGAGCCAGTCCGTCTTGACGGTGCAGAGGAAGAACTGGGAGCCGTTGGTGCCCGGGCCGGCGTTGGCCATCGAGAGGATGCCCGGGCCGGTGTGCTTGAGCTGGAAGTTCTCGTCGGCAAACTTGGCGCCGTAGATGGACTTGCCGCCGGTGCCGTTGCCCGCCGTGAAGTCGCCGCCCTGGCACATGAAGTTGGTGATGACGCGGTGGAAGGCAGAGCCCTTGTAGCCAAAGCCCTTCTCGCCCGTGCACAGCGCGCGGAAGTTCTCCGCCGTCTGCGGGGCGGCGGCGAAGGGAGCGGTGGTGGTGAGTGGCGGCGGCGGGCAGGAGGCGCGAGAGCAGCGGCGGCGAGGGCGCCAGCGAGTGCGGCGGTGATGGCAGCGGCGGTCACGGCCACGGAGAGGCGGCGAGGGCGGCGGCGGGTGAGGCCCCTCGCACCTTTGGGACGATGTCGTCGCGGAGCGTCATCTCGATGCGGCCGGCCGGCGCGCCACCGATGGTCATATCCTGCGGTGAGCGCGATCGAGGGTGAGCTTCTCGCGTGCGGGGGCGGAGGCCCTCGAGCGAGCAGAAGCGGGCGCACGAAATAGACGACTGCCGGCATGGGGAAAGGGGCGGCTCGAGACGTGCGAGCGTCACAAGAAAAACAGGCCCGAGTTGTTCCTGCTGTTGAGGGCCCCGGCCGCGGCGCGGTGCGGCGGCGTCACAAATCCGACCACAGAGCACCGGGACGAGGTCGGGCGATCCGAGGCCCAACTAGGCGTATGCATTGCCTATCCAGGGCTATCACGTGCACGAACAGGACAACAACATCAACAACAAGGTATTGCTAAAAATCTCTCTCTCAACAGGCGCCTGCGGCGCCGTGGTCAGGAGCTGCTGTTCACGCGGGTCCACACTTCATAGTGGACAGTAACCGTCGCCAGACGCCACTCGCTCTAGGTCTAGCGTCTAGTAGGTGAAACGTCTGAAGAAGGAAGGCCCAAATTCGCGAGAGAGAGAGATTTTTAGAAGCCAACAAGAAATGTGTCAGAGAGAGTGATTTGCGCTCGGCAGCTTGTCGACTACCAGCCGGAGCCGGAGTCGGAACCGTAGCCGAGATGGTCTTCGAGGGTGTCGAATATGTCATTCGCCTCGCTAGTCGCTAGGCTAGTGGAGCCGGTGCCGCACGAGTCGCGGTCGGAGGAGGAGTCGTCGGAGGAGCGGTGGGACGCCTCGCGCTTGTCGCGCCTGATGCGCTCTGCGAGGGGGCCGGGGTCGTGGTCGTCGTGCTCGAGCGTCGGGTAGGTAGCGCGCCTTGCGACCTTGTCGGCCGAGCTGCCATCCCAGTAGAAGGTGTACCAGTCGCCGCGTGGATAGAACCAAGCGTTGACCAACCTGTACCGTCCGAGTGCGGCCGCCTGAGCGGCCTGAGCGGCCGCCTGAGCAGCCGCCTTTGCAGCAGCCTCCTCGGCCGCTGCAGCGGCGATAGCCGCTGCTTTGGCCTTGGCGCGCTTCTTGTCGTTTTGCCTTCTTCTTCAAATTCGCACGAACGTGGAACGACGGGTATGTAGACCGGCGTTTGGAGAACACGGGCACTGACTAGACCCGCCAGCCAGGAAGGAAGGACTGGGAGTGTGAATGAAAGGAGGGACACGCGCGAGAGAGGAGATTCTCTTGACGTGCCAGTGCGCGCCAGTCCCGTGCCCAGTGTTGTGCGAGGGAGTTTTGTTGTAAAATTCTCTTGACACGCGTGGTTGGTTCGGACCTGGTTCGGACGCGTGCTTGGGCTCAACCAGGTTTGCCTCTCGCACCCCGTCTGTTTTCCTTTCCTTTTCGTTCTCTACAGCACCCTCTCTTTTCCTCTCTATTTTGCCGGGAAAACTGCGTGGAAATCGTCAAATTTTTGGCTCTGAGCCGAGTCTGAGCACTGAGGCTGGTTTGGGCCCAAAATCAGCCAAATTTTAGGCCAAATCGGCAAAATGCCGGGAATTTCGCGGAGAACCCGTGTATACCTGGTCCTGGAAATTACCCTGCGACCGCCTGGGTATTTTGTCGATTTCCTCAATTTTGCCTCAGATTTTGCCCCAGACCAGCTCTCAGACTCAGGGAAACTCGCGAGTTTCCAGAATGGAGCACCAAACACCCTCTGTTTTCCCTGGAAATTTCCGGAAACGCAAAGTGCTGCGGGGACCCTCTGTTTTCCTTTTTTTTTGAGAGCGCCTTCGTTGTTTGTTTTCCGGAAAACCTGGTTGAGAGAGAGATTTTTAGCAATACCAAACAAGAGAGAGACGGGTCCTTCAGCCACCAAAGCGGGATCACCCGAGAGCAGCTGAGCCTGCCTCTGGCCTCGCCTCCCTCTCCTTCAGGCATTCGTGGCATCCTATGGGTCGTCCAGAGTATCGACCTCTGGCTTGTCAGCCAGTCACTTGATGACACCATGAAGTACAGCGATCGCCATCTCGCTGGCCTCTTCGCAGGCCCCCGGCCGGCGCGTCGAACTCATCGGCGGACGGCGCGGGCTCTCTCGGCTACGGGACCGGCCCCAGCTTCGGCTGAGGGCTAACAAGCTGCCGAGCCCAAATCACTGTGAGAGTCGTGATTTCTTGTTCTTAGGTATATCTTGTTGGTCTTTAAAAATCTCTCTCTCTCTCCAAACAACTCTAGAGTCTAGTTGAGCCCAAGACGCGTCCAACACAACGTACCCGGGTGGGGTACGGGCAGCTTCTGCGGCATGACCTACCGAGGGGAGGAAGCGACAAAAACTCTCACTCAATTAACACACAACAGTGGGTCCCCGCCCCCACCCCATCCCGTGGCTGGTGGGAGCAGCTCACAAGACACACAGCCAGCTGGCTGCCACACACCCTGAGTTGGCGTACACACAACAGTGGGGACCCCGCCCCCACCCCATCCCGTGGCTGGCACCTCGGCCACTGGCCCCACAGCGCGCATCGCTTCTCGCAATCCTTCCTTCGTCATCATGTCTTGCCCCGTCGTCTTTTTCGTGCGCCCTCGCACCCCACACAGCCAGCACGCCGTCCCTCCGCACGGCCTGCGGACGGCGCAACCCGCCTGCAGCAGCCGCCAGCTCCCCCTCCGCGAGCCTCGCCTCGCGACACACAAATGTCGCCGTGTGGTGTCCGCATCGGCACTCTGCCCGCCCTCGCAGGATATGACCATCGGTGGCGCGCCGGCCGGCCGCATCGAGATGACGCTCCGCGCCGACGTCGTCCCAAAGGTGCGAGGGGCCTCACCTCCACCCACCGCCGTTCTCTCCGCCTCCCTCACCGCCTCTCACCCCCGCTGCCCTCGCCGCTCCCTTCGCCGCCGCCCCGCAGACGGCGGAGAACTTCCGCGCGCTCTGCACGGGCGAGAAGGGCATGGGGAAGAGCGGCAAGCCGCTCCACTTCAAGGGCTCTGCCTTCCACCGCGTCATCACCAACTTCATGTGCCAGGGCGGCGACTTCACGGCGGGCAACGGCACCGGCGGCGAGTCCATCTACGGCGCCAAGTTTGCCGACGAGAACTTCCAGCTCAAGCACACCGGCCCGGGCATCCTCTCGATGGCCAACGCCGGCCCGGGCACCAACGGCTCCCAGTTCTTCCTCTGCACCGTCAAGACGGACTGGCTCGACGGCAAGCACGTCGTCTTTGGCTCCGTCACCAAGGGCATGGAGGTGGTCAAGGCGATCGAGGCGGTCGGCTCGCAGTCGGGCCAGACGGCCAAGAAGGTGGTGATCGCCGACTGCGGCCAGATCTCGTAGACGCGCTTCGGCCCCGCAGCGGGAAGGAGAGGTTTGAGTCGGAGCGCAGAGGGGCGCGGGCGGCCTTTTCTAGGCGCGCCCTCGGGTTGGGGGCGCAGGGCCAAGGTACTTTGCCCACTTATATCTTATTCTCTTCAGAGGAGATGTTGTTTGCTCTTCCTAAACTTTACAGCTAATACTAAACAACCGTCGAGCTATAAACATAAAACTGACAAATAATAAAACTGATAGTGATACCTCTATGGACTATGCTCTATTAAAGGAGAAAGTATCGGTCGCGTCCCCGCCCCAGCGGCGCAAAGAGGCAGCTAGCCAGCTAGGTAGGCAGGTAGGAAGGTGAAGAACAGTCAGGCTCGGACTGGACACCAACGCGGTATGGGTGTGGACGCGAGACAGATGATGACGACACGCGTGAGCGACACAGTCACACAGAGACAGACACACACAAGCTCACAAGACACGCAGCCTCGCGCATGCTTGAAGAATTCTACGAATACAAGCCCCTCTCACAGCAGACTGGCACGCGCACGGACTAGCACCACAAAAGGCACAGCAGACAACGGCCCCTTATGGGCCGTTGAAGAGGCCGTCATACTCCTCCGGCCTCGCCCCCCCTTCCCAACCCTCCCCTGGCTCAGGCTCCTCATCCTCGCGGCGCGCAGTGCGCACCCCGCCCCGCGAAGACGAGCCCTTCCGCCGGCGTGCCTCCCGGGACTGCCGCCCGTGGCCGCCGCCCTTCCCCCCCTCCGCCGCCCGCGCCGCCTTCTTTCTCCGCCGCCCGCGCGGCCGCCTTCGCCTCCTCCGCCGCTAACAGCGCCTCCCTCCGCGTGACCCCTATGGGCCCCTTGCGCATCCAGGAGAGGTCGCGCGAGCGACCTATCCAGGGGTTACTCGAATACGGCGCAACGTAGCCGCTGCGCAGCTCGAAGAAAGAAGAATTCTAGCAATACAAGCCCCTCTCACAGCAGACTGGCACGAACTAGCACCACAAAAGGCACAGCAGACAACGGCCCCTTATGGGCCGTCGAAGAGGCCGTCATACTCCTCCGGCCTCGCCCCCCCTTCCCAACCCTCCCCTGGCTCAGGCTCCTCATCCTCGCGGCGCGCAGTGCACCCCGCCCCGCGAAGACGAACCCTTCCGCCGGCGTGCCTCGCGGGACTGCCGCCCGCTGCCGCCGCCCTTCCCCCCCTCCGCTGCCCGCGCCGCCTTCTCCGCCGCCCGCGCGGCCGCCTTCGCCTCCTCCGCCGCTAACAGCGCCTCCCTCCGCGTGACCCCTATGGGCCCCTTGCGCATCCAGGAGAGGTCGCGCGAGCGACCTATCCAGGGGTGATTCGCAGACGGCGCATGCCCCTTCCGCAGCATCGAGTAGTCGCCGAAGCCACCCCCCAAGAAGCCTTCCAGGCAAGCATCGCAGACCCACTCGCCTAGCTGAGAGATCTCAGAACTCTCGCCGCGCCAGATCTCCTTCTCCGCCGCCTCCATCTCCTCTCTCGACCAGCCCCCCAGCTCCGACCAGCCCTCACGCAACGCCCGGCGCCACAGCCACGGCTCCACGCCAAACTCGTCGTAAAAGCTCCCAAAGCACTGCTGACACTCGAGGCCTGGGCCTCGAGCGTCCGCCGCGGAGATGGGGTTGTCCGTGCTCGCTCCAGCCCACTCCTCGAGCGTCGCCGCCACGAGCGCCCCGTAGACGGCGTCGACCGCCGCCTCCGCCAACGCCTCAGCAGCCGCCTCGCCCGCCTCAGAACCCGTGGCCTCATCTGAAAGAATGAAAGGGTGGGGCGCGCCAGCAGCGCGTCCGAGACCGGCGTCTCGGGCGGGGTAATGCCGGCGGGCCCCCAATATGGGGCACGTCCAGGTCCATTCGGCGAGCGAGAGCGGCCGCCCTCCTCCCCCTCCGCCGGCGCCGCGCCGCCGGTGGAAACCTCCTCCACTGGGTTGGGCCGCTCAGCAGCCAAACCCGCCGCGGTGTCGGGCCCCTTCTCGAGCCCTCCCCCGCGACCCCTGGCGCCACGGCCGCGCCGCCCTCGGCGGCGCCGCGGCGCCTTCCGCCCGCCCTCGACCTCCTCCTCCCCCCCCGCGGCAGCGATCGTCCCATCGCCACTCTCCGGCAGCGCGGGCTCCAAGGGGTCCAAACTGGATCCCTCGGTCCCACCTCCGGACCCACCTTCTGCGGCCTGCGCGTCGCAGGCACCGCCGTCCGCCTCTTGGGGGCGCGCGCCGCCGCGGCCCTCGCCGCCAGCCGCTGCCCCGCCAGCAGCCGCCTGATCGCCAGCCGCCACCCCAGCTGGGGTGTCGCCCAGCGACAGGCCGCTGAGGGATGCCAAGACCGCAGCTGCGTCCCCCCAGCCCCGCCGGCCGAGAAGAGCCCGGCGGAGCTTCTCCGCCTGGCGGTCGTGGATGTCGAGCGAGCCGATGCCCTTCTGCTTCTCAGCGACCTCCTCGAGGAGGTCGCCAGCGTCGCCAACGCCCAGCTCCGCGAGCCGCCCCTCATACCTGCGGTAGAGGTTGTCGGCGACGCGCGCGCGCTTGAACAGAGCCGCGAGCGTCTCTCCCAGGTCGATGGCGGGCGAGGCCGCCATCGAAGGCCTGGTGCCCGGCCGCGTGGCCCCCGGGCTGCGGGTGGGTGCTCGCTGCGGCGGCCGCCGAGAGGGCAGAGAGCGGCGGCAGGCCGCCGACGGCGTGTGTGACACACACACACACACACCGACGGCGTGAAGAAAAGAATTTTTAAACAAAGAAGAAGAAAGCAGAAATAAGCCAGACAGCGCGGGTGAACGTTTGTTTCAGTCTTTTGCATGCTCGGCACCTGGCTCGCGGCGTCGGCCTTTGCGCTGCAGCCTGCCGTCTGGACACGTCCGGCGTCTCTGCGGACACGACACCGGTGCCAGCTCATCGCGCAAGACAACAACTGGTACCCTGCCGTCGACGAGGCGAGCAGTAGATGATCCTGTCCTCTCCCGTTTTTTGACACCAGGAATGATTTTGTGTCTCGCCTACCGGCAGGCGAGCGGCGAAACGTACTACTATAACGCCGACACCGGCGAGGCGCAGTGGCAGGTTCCTCCTTCTGCGTACAGTAGTTCGCTCGTCTGGCGCGTGCTGCCCCACGCCGGTATCCGCTACGAGTACGCGGGATGCACGCTCGCGATGCCGCTCTGTGCTGGGGAGGAGCAGACGCTGGGCGCGCACATAGCCACCTCAGAGACACACAACCTCCATGCGTTTGCGGGACACATTTCCGAGGACACCTCTCGGAGACATTTTGAGGCGCGCGCCCGAGACTCTTTGACACCCCTTTGAGATATGGCGATGCCTGTGCATTGACCCCGTGACGCGTCCACGCAGGGCGGTCCGACATGGCCGACCCGTCGCCGTACGTGTCGCGGCTGCAGTGCGTCGTCCACGTGGAGGGCGGCGCCGCGACGCTCCTCTCCATTGGCAAGCGCGCCGCCCCTAGATGCGAAGGTAGTCTCCCCCCATCCCCAGGGCGTCCAGGGCTCGCACCTCAACCTCTCACAGACCAGCGCACAGCGCCATGCGATGGACCGTCTTCTCGATAACAAGGCTGCGAAGCACGTGCCGTTCCCCCACTCCTCTGCCGCTACGCGTGTTGTGTGTGGAGACGCTCACCTTACCTTGCCTCCCACCTCGCAGGCCTCCGACCCTGTGGCGCGCCCACGAGTCCGCTCCGTGGATGGTGCTGCGGAAGGCGAGGCCGCTCGGAGACGACATCGGGTGCCGAGATTCGCCGAGATCTCGCCGAGATCCGGCTGTGGGGCGGCGGAGACGTGGCGGAGACGTGGCGGAGGTGTGGCGCGTGTGGCGGAGAGATCGTCGAGAGTGAGCGAAGCGTCGAGAAGTAGTCGAGGCCGTTCCGTAGCCGGTCAAGGGCACCGGTGCTCCTCTAGTCCCATCGCCTTCCACGTGACCCCCTCTCCACAGGTTCGACGGCACGCACGCGCTGCAGCATGGCGAGCAGATCAGCTTGGACATCCGCGAGCCAGAGGCGGCCGTGTTCACGGTCACATGCGAGGAGGCGGGCGCCGGCGCGTCCGTGCCGCAGGAGGACGGCTACATGCATGGGTACGGCGGTCCGCAGCAGCAGCAGCAGCAGCAGCAGCAGCAGCAGCAACAGCAGCAACAGTAGCAACAGCAGCAGCCTTGGCCACATCAAGGCGCAGGTGGTGAGTACTATTATTGATCGCCTCCGCGCCCTTGTCGTGTCAGAGAGAGATTTTTAGAAGCCAACAAGAAATGTGGCACACTCAGTGATTTGGGCTCGGCAGCTTGTAATCCAACTCTGTGAATACGTTTTCCACGTATATCGTATTCCAAATGACCTCCCAGAGGCCTGTATTCCACCCGTATTCCACCCGCATTCCACGTATTCCATGGAATACGCCGTATTCCAAGCTCCAAAAATGGACGTATTCCGTATAAAATTTTCTTCGCTCCGCGAATTCACAGAGTAGGCTTGTAATAGGGGGTCCACAGCGCCCCAAAATCCACCAGTGTGGGATTCGCGCAATCGCTTGACTCTGTAGAAAAGCTCGCATGTACTCCTGCGAGCGCTGTGATCGCCGCAGACTGGCTCCGACTTGACGGCGGCATGGAGACGTGATGCCTCCATGCCGCCGTCAAGTCAAAATCGACATGCGAGTCGATCTTTGGCCCGCCAGAGGTACATGCGGCGTTTCGGGCGACAACAGCGCTGTGACCGCGAAGTGGCGGTGGACATGATCCCACGGTGCCGACGCGGCGCCGGAGTGGCCGGCGCTGCTCGCCGCGACCACGGCGGCGACTCCGATGCTTCGGGCCGACCCGTCCTACCCGACGGTGGCACTCTTCCACGTCTCGCTCACACACGCTGAGAAAAAATCGGAAACGGCGTGCAGCAGAGTCACCGACGAGCTGGTCCGCGTGCCTCCTCGTGTCCCGTACCGTTCTCACACATCCATAAACTCACTTTGGCCTCACTGAAGCGATGCCTGAATCCTGAATCCTCAGATTTTAGATTAGGACGCTGTGTGGGCCCCCTACGTTGTAAGAGCGCCGGAGTCGGAACTGTAGCCGAGATGGTCGTCGAGGATGTCGAATATGTCATTCGCCTCGCTAGTAGAGCCGGAGCCGCTTGAGTCTTGGTCGGAGGAGGAGTCGTCGGAGGAGCGGTCGGACCGTTATCGGCCGCGCTGCCGTCCCAGTACAAGGTGTACCAGTCGCCGCGAGAGGATAGAACCAAGCGTTGACCAACCTGTACCGTCCGAGAGCGGCCGCCTGAGCGGCCTGAGCAGCCGCCTGAGCGAGCCCTAGTGCGGACGGTTTTTTTGCGGTATCTTGATGTATCTCCTATGCAATATCTGACCGTATCTCCCCGTATCTCCTTGCATCTCATCGCATCTCCCCGTATCTCCCCGTATCTGCCCGTATCTGCCCGTATCCGCCCTTATCTCGTATCTCCCGGTATCTCCCGGTATCTCCCGGTATCTCCCGGTATCTCCCGGTATCCCGCCATATCCCGCCATATCCCGCCGCGGATACCGCGAAAAAAACCGTCCACACCGCGGCTCTTCTCGTCAGTGTGCTGCGCAGATGTAACAATTCTTTTCTGGATTGGTGACCTGTGTTTTATAGTGCCAGTGCGCGTCAGTGTCGTGCGAGGGCGTTTGGTTGTAAAATTATTTTGTCACGGCGTGTTGAACGGGCAAATAGCTTTTGCGCAACACGGCTTGCGCGCTGCGCGCACCTCGCGCGCGGCCGCAACGGGCGCCCTTGGGATTCGAAAATTCTTTAGGCTTGTATTTGAAGGATTCTTTTTACTTCGCGTGTGGGGTGTGTGTTTGTGCGGGGCGGCGCAGGGCGGGGGCGCGCAGGGCAGAAACTCAACGGTCATCGGCTCGTCGAGGTTGGAGAAGGGGAAGGGGGGGTTGGGCGGTCGGCGAGGGGGTAGTTAGTCGCAGGGCGTATGGGGTCAGTCGTTCACCTTCCTTCCTGCCTCGCAAGGGCGGGGCTGTCCCGGGAAGCCGCGGGCAGCGAGCGTGACGCCGCCACCTTTACCTCCCATACGCGTTGAGACTATTCCTCCCTCGGGCCCCTCAATCTCCTCATCTCTTTCCTAGGCGGGGCGCTGCGGTTTGTGCGCGCGGCGGCGCGGCGCGGAAGAAATAAAACCTCGAGACCTCGATGGCCTTGGCAATGGCGGACTCGTGGGTATGGTGCACGGGGGCTGAGGCTGTTGAGGCTGTCGTGGCAAATATGCGCGAACACGCTGCTGATGTTGAGCTTCAGCGGGACGGCTGCCTCACGCTGCGCAACAACATGCGTGCAGGCAGGTATGCGTGCAGGCAGGCGATGGTGGATGCGGGCGGGCTTGCGGCTGTGGTGGCGGCGATGGTCGGTCACCCCGCAGATCTTTTGCTGCAGCGGGCTGGCTGCGACGTGCTGTGGAACATGGCTGCCGGCAGCGACGCGCGCAAGCAGGCGGTGGTGGACGCGCGCGGGCTTGCAGCTGTGGTGGCGGCGATGGGCAGGCACGCTGCTGATGTGGAGCTGCAGCGGTATGGCTGCCTCACGATGAACATTTTGGCTTCGGGCAGCGACGCGCGCAGGCAGGCGGTGGTGGACGCGGGCGGGCTTGCAGCTGTGGTGGCGGCGATGGGCAGGCACGCTGCAGATGTGCAGCTGCAGTGGGCTGGCTGCGGCGCGCTGCAGAACATGGCTTTCGGCAGCGACGCGTGCAAGCAGGCGGTGGTGGACGCGGGCGGGGCTGCGGCTGTGGTGGCGGCCATGGGCAGGCACGCTGCAGATGTGGAGCTGCAGCGGAATGGCTGCGGCGCGCTGCTGAACATGGCTGGCGGCAGCGACGCGCGCAAACAGGCGGTTTTGGACGCGGGCGGGCTTGCAGCTGTGGTGGCGGCGATGGTCGGGCACGCTGCAGATGTGGAGCTGCAGCGGGCTGGCTGCGGCGCGCTGCGCAATATGGTTTTCGGCAGCGACGCGTGCATCCAGGCCGTGGTGGACGCGGGCGGGGCTGCGGCTGTGGTGGCGGCGATGGGCAGGCACGCTGCAGATGTGCAGCTGCAGTGGGCTGGCTGCGGCGCGCTGCGCAACATGGCTGTCGGCAGCGGCGCGCGCAAGCAGGCGGTTTTGGACGCGGGCGGGCTTGCAGCTGTGGTGGCGGCGATGGGCAGGCACGCTGCAGATGTGCAGCTGCAGTGGGCTGGCTGCGGCGCGCTGCTGAACATGGCTGGCGGCGACGCGTGCAAGCAGGCGGTGGTGGACGCGGGCGGGGCTGCGGCTGTGGTGGCGGCGATGGACGGGCACGATGCGGACGTAGAGCTGCAAAGGTTGGGCTGCGACGCGCTGCGCAACATGGCCATCGGCAGCGACGCGTGCAAGCAGGCCGTCGTGGATGCGGGCGGACTTGCGGCTGTAGTGGCGGCGATGGGCAGGCACGCTGCAGATGTGCAGCTGCAGTGGGCTGGCTGCGGCGCGCTGCTGAACATGGCTGGCGGCAGCGACGCGCGCAGGCAGGCGGTGGTGGACGCGCGCGGGGCTGCGGCTGTGGTGGCGGCGATGGGCAGGCACGATGCGGACGCAGAGCTGCAAAGGTTGGGCTGCGGCGCGCAGCGGAACATGGCTTTGGGCAGCGACGCGTGCAAGCAGGCGGTGGTGGACGCGGGCGGGCTTGCAGCTGTGGTGGCGGCGATGGGCAGGCACGCTGCTGATGTGGAGCTGCAGCGGTATGGCTGCGGCGCGCTGCAGAACATGGCTGTCGGCAGCGACGCGTGCAAGCTAGCCATTCTTGGCGCGGGTGGCCTTGCCGCCCTCGTTGCAGCTGGCACCGCCCACCCTACCTGCCACGCATCCGTCTCTTTGACTGTTCGCCGCTTGCTCGGCGACCTCGGCGCCTTCGCCCCCGCCGATCCAGCGCCGCCACCGATACCGCCACCAGTAGCTGAGCTCGCCGAGGCTGAGCGGGCTCGCCAGCGTGCCGAGCAGCGGGCACAGCAGGAGCAGGAGCAGCGACAGGAGGCAGAACGGCGTGCGCAGGCCTCCCACCAGCGCGAGCAGGAGCTCCAGCAGCAGCTGACGATCGTGGCGACGTCCAACGAGCTCGACGAGGGCGCCTTCCTCCGGCGCTTCGTCGCCTTCCGTCAGTACGTCGAGATGTTGCTGGAGTACTTGCCATCAAAGACGGCGCGCAGCAAACCGTGGAGACTGAAGGTGCGGCGCAACCAGCTTTGCCGCGACGTCATCGAGTACTTCTCGCCCACGAACGCCAGACAGAAGCTCTTCCAGCGCACCGAGGTGACATTCATCGACGCGCACGGCGGCGAGGAGGAGGGGGAGGACCTCGGCGGTCTGACTGTCGAGCTCTACTCTTGCTTCTTCCGCGAGGTGCTGCTCGCCGGCTCCGGCCTCTTCGAGGGCGCCGGCGACGATGCGTCGACGAGCATCGGGCTGCTGCCCTCGCCCACCGCCGACCTGCAGTCGATGAACAACATCGGCCGCATCATGTGCCGGTGCGTGCTCGACGACCAGCCCCTCGGCCGCGGGCTCGGTCGTTTCGTCTTCGAGTTTCTGGCAGACACGCACGAGTGGCGCGTCTTCAAGGATGTGCACTCCGCGCTAGCCGCGCTCTCCGACTTCGACCCCGAGCTCTCGCAGCGGTGGGCGCAGCTGCTCGTGCAGCCGACCGCCGGCTTGACGCTCGACTTCTTCGACGAGGACGCGGCGGCGGAGGAGGTGCCGCCGGAGAGCGCGGCGATGGAGCGGGCGGTGCTGGCCGGCTGCCGCCACAAGCTGCTCGTCAGCCGGGAGGCGAGCCTCCGCGCGCTGCGCGACGGTTTCACGGAGGTCGTGGACCTCCGGGAGCAGCTCGGCGCGCTCAGCGCCTCCGAGCTGCTACTCATGCTGCGCGGAAACACCGAGCTGAGCTGCGAGGAGCTGCTCGCGTGCTTCGCGTGGCCGGACACGTCGGACAGTGCCGCGGCGAAGGCGGGCTTCGCGGCCGCCGGCTCCGACGCGCCGCGCTACTTGCGCGAGATCATCCTCGACGAGTCACCCGAGACGGGGCTGGGCAGTCTCGGGCGGATGCGGCTGCTCGAGTGGAGCACGGCGCTCACGGCGCTGCCCTGCGGCGGCCTCAAGGACCCGATCACCCTCAAGCTCTACGAGGGCGCCGACGTGCACGACTTGCCCAACGTCCACACCTGCACACACGAGGTGCACTTGCCGCCGTATGCGACCCGTCAACAACTGCAGGCGAAGCTGCTGCAGGCAGTAGAGCATCGGCACGACGGCTTTCTGATCGAGTAATCTGCTGCGCTTTTCCAAGTGCTTTTCGCACTGCACTCAGCTCGCCAGTTGTACTTCGCGGAGGTGCAGTCGATTTCACGGTGAGCTTTGCGTCTGCAAGTGCATGGACCATGTTTGTCTTTGTAGTTCCTAGTACTCAGTCCGCTGAGTCTTGTGTGTACAGTCGCCACAGTACGTTCTTATTTTGTTTGTGAAGGTTTACATGCTCACCTACAGTGATGTGTACGTAATACCAAATCCTAATACCGTTCCCTCCCTCTGGGGGGGCGCGGGGGCCCCCGGAGGCACCGTGCGCCGCGCAGCACAGTGCGGAAACGGGGAGCTCCGGCAGAGTACTAGTCTCTACTAGCACCAACTTCCCGAATGAGTATGGTTGAGTAGAGGGCAGATTCGGAGAGATCTCGAGGAGTACATACAGATAGACCCTCCAACCATCAGAAAACTCCGACCTGATTGGTCGTACTGACCGCCGACAGATCACTCCAGACAGCAGACAGGGGCCGACGTCTGCACGCGGCCGGCCGGGCGAGAGGCTTGACACGATCCGACCCTGCGAGACCCTGACGCTGCTGCTCTAGCTATCAGACATGCACTGCTGACTGCTGCCACAATGTGCGACCGGTGCTGGCCCACTTGGCGGCCTTCCCGGTCAGTGGTGAGGCGCAGTTCAGAGCTGTCGATGGCGCGATGCCGCACTGGTCCCACATTGGTAACACGAGACCACCACGTTTGCCGGAGGGTCCAAGAGAGAGGCACTGGCGCTGTCCTGAGAAGGTGCATGGTCCCTCTTGACTGCCCATGCGCGCGAGGCTGTGTAGGCATAGCCTCAAGAGTGCCAGCAGCCAATCCGAGGCGACGCGCATTGCGCCAGAAGCGTGCACGCAGCTGGAAGGACACCTTCCTACTGGCCGTACGATCAGGTCGTCACTGAATGCTTGATACTAAGGCCGCGAGCTATGCAGGTGATCAGCGCCGACAGGCTGTCGCAAGGCGTGATAGCATGGCCGCAAGTACGCCGAATTCCAATGAAAACAAGTGAAAATGCGCAAAAAAGAAAATTCCAAAAAATCGGCGCCTGCGGCGGGCCATGGGACCCCATCTCCCCCCCGCTTGGATACCCTCTAGGGCCCCCGCGCCCCCCCAGAGTTCCCTCCCCTGTGCGGCTTTACTTACGTTATAACCTTCGCTTGGACCTTCATAATAACCTTTCCCGTATCCGGCTCTGCATGCATTTGGACCGCCGAATGACGATAGCGATAACTGGAAACGAACCTCCCCGGCAGTGACGTGCGTTTCTCCCCGCGCCCTGCAAAGATTTGCGGTTTTCAGTCGTTCCAAGTATGCGGGCGTGGGCGGCCACGCCTCGATCTTCTTAGGCAGCAGCTGATCCTCCTCGTCACCGTGGCCCAACTCGCCATCATCTCCATCGCCCCAGCTCCAGATGGCTCCGTCGGCGGTGAGGGCGAGGCTGTGGTCGCATCCCGCCCACACGGCAACGACGCGCCGGCCAGCAAAGGCCTCGATCTTCTTGGGCAGCAGCTGCTCCTCCTCTTTTAAATTGTCAGAACAGATTGTCAGAACAGGCGAACTTGGACTCGAAGTTGAAAGTTGCAGTTTGTGTCAGAACGGGCGAAGGCGGACGAGGCTGCGGCTGCGGCGGCCCGCGAGGCAGCGGCGACGGCGGCAGAGGAGGAGTACAAGGCTTTGGCGGAGGCGCGGGCGGCGGAGGAGCGGCGAGCGGCGGAGGCGGCTGCGGAGCGGGAGCCGGGCGAGGGGAGCGCGGGGCGGGAGGCGGAGGCGAGGGCGGAGGTGGGGGCGGCGGATGAGAGCGCGGCTGTGGCGGCACTTGCGACGAAGGGTACGGAGGGCGACGACGACGGCATCAAGTACGTCGTGGCGGTGGCCGCCGCCGCAGCGGTGGCTTACCTCTCCACTCCTGGCGTCGAGCCGCCAGGCGCGCTGATGGCGGGCGCGGGCCAGAGCGGGCTGAGGGAGGCGGCGGCGGCGGTGCGGGCGGAGATGCGGGGGGCGCTGTCTTCCGCGGGCAGTGCGAGCCGGGCTGCGAGGCTGGAGACGAGCCGATCGGTGGCGGAGGCGGCGGCCCGTGCGGCGGCCGCAGGCAAGGAGGCGAGCAAGACGGCCGCGGAGACGGCGGCTGCGGTTGCACAGGGGACGGGCCAGGCGGCGGCCGAGGCGAAGCGGGCGGCCGCAGAGGCGAGCAAGGAGACGGGGCGGGCGGCGGCGGCGGCGGCGGCCAAGGCGGCAGCGGAGACGAGCGCCGCGGCCGAGGGCGCCGGCAAGGCGGCGGTTTCTGCGAGCAAGGTGCCTCGCGTTGCGCGGGCTTGCGCTAGAGTTCGAGCGCACGCGTATGGCGCTGCTTGCCTGCGCTCTCCCATAGGCGGCGGCCGCCGCGAGCGAGGGGGCGAGCAAGAGGGCGGCCAAGGCGGCGAGGGCGGCGGCGGAGGGGACGCGCGAGGCCGCAGCCGACGCCGGGCGCGCGGGCGGCAAGAAGGCGGTCGAGGCCAAGCGAGAGGCGGCTCTCGAGCGCCGCTTCGGGCGGCTCTAGTGCACGGCGGCGCGATGCGGAGCGGAGGAGTGCACCCAGAGAGGAGGCGCGACGGCGAGCGGAGCACGAGCGTTAGCGTGTGGCCGGGCCCGCATTGGTCAAGAGAGCGACCTCTCCGCTCTCGCGGCGACACGCGAGAAAGCACACAGAAAGGCCGGCGAAGCCAGAGTGCAGAGAGCGCGCTTACATATGTGCATGTGGTTTCGCGAGTGTCGCACGTTTGTTTTCAACGACCATGCACATGTACATGTATCTCGTAACTAACACAGCACGCTCTAATACCGGTAGGTGGTCGGCTTGTACGGGCCAGACTTCTTGACGCCGATGTAGTCGGCCTGCTCGGTGCTCAGCTCGGTGAGGTGGGCGCCGAGCTGGCCGAGGTGGAGGCGGGCGACCTTCTCGTCGAGCTCCTTGGGGAGGAGGTAGACCTGGTTCTGGTACTTTGACTTGGCCTTGTCCTTGCCCGCCTCGACGTACGCCTTGCGCAGCTCGAGCTGCGCGAGCGTCTGGTTGGTGAACGAGTTGGACATGACGAAGGACGGGTGGCCCGTCGCGCAGCCGAGGTTGAGGAGGCGGCCCTCGGCGAGGACGATGACGCCGTGGCCGTCGGGGAAGGTGTACTTGTCGCACTGCGGCTTGATGTTCATCCGCGTCGTCGCCTTCTCCAGCTGCTCCATCTGGATCTCGTTGTCAAAGTGGCCGATGTTGCCGACGATGGCGTTGTTCTTCATCTTCTTCATGTGCTCGAGGGTGATGATGTCCTTGTTGCCGGTGGTGGTGATGAAGACGTCCGCCTCCGAGATCAGGTCCTCCATCGTCACCACCTGGTACCCCTCCATGCACGCCTGCAGCGCGCAGATCGGGTCGATCTCCGTCACGTACGTGATCGCGTTCTGCGCGCGCATCGACGCGGCCGAGCCCTTGCCGACGTCGCCAAAGCCGCAGATGACGACCTTCTTGCCCGAGAGCATGACGTCGGTCGCGCGCATGATGCCGTCGGGCAGCGAGTGCCGGCAGCCGTACACGTTGTCGAACTTGGACTTGGTGACGCAGTCGTTGACGTTGATGGCCGGGAAGAGCAGCTCGCCCACGTCCGCCATCGCGATGAGGCGGTGGACGCCGGTGGTGGTCTCCTCGGAGACGCCGACCATGCGCTGGACCATGCGCGTGAAGCGGGTCGGGTCCTTGGCGATCGAGTTCTTGATCGTCGCGAGCACGCACTTGAACTCGGCGTTGTCGGTCGAGGCCGGGTCGGGCAGCGACTTGTCCTTGGCAAACTGCTCCTCGAACTTCTTGCCCTCGTGGAGGAGGAGGGTGGCGTCGCCGCCGTGGTCGACGATCTGGTCCATGCCCTCGCCGTCCGGCCAGGTGAGCGCCTTGTCCGTGCACCACCAGTACTCCTCCAGCGTCTCGCCCTTCCACGCAAAGATGTTGGCGGTGCCCGCGCGCACGCACGCCGACGCCGCGTGGTCCTGGGTCGAGAAGATGTTGCACGAGCACCAGCGGACGTCCGCGCCGAGCGCCTCGAGCGTCTCGGCGAGCACGGCGGTCTGGATGGTCATGTGGAGCGAGCCCATCACGCGCACGCCTGGGGGAGGCCCGGGCGGAGGCCGGGGTGAGGCGCGGGCGCGCGGGGAGGGCGCCGGCTCGAGGGGCGGAGGAGCGGGGCGGAGGAGGAGGGAGGCGGAGCGGAGGGAGGAGGGAGGAGGGAGGCGCGCGCGCACCGGCGAGGGGCTGCGCCGGGCCGAACTCCTTGCGCGCCGCCATCAGGCCGGGCATCTCGTGCTCGGCAATGTCGAGCTCCTTGCGGCCGAAGTCGGCGAGCGACATGTCGGCGACCTTGAAGTCGCCCGAGGCCTCAACGTTCTTCTGCTTGCTCGCAAACGTCCCGTCAAAGTCGCGAGCGAGCTTCTCCCTCTGAAAGTACCTGAGGGCACCGTTAGTGCTGGATGACGACCAACGCCATGCGCTTCAGCCGCCGGTCTACGTCGTCAATCTCTTGGGCGAACTCACAGGTCAGCGACGTCCACGTTGTCACTCTCCATGATCCAGTCACCGCCGTCCTTGGGGTTCCCAGTGAGGTCAGTCGAACCCGCAAAGTTGGTCTGTGTGACTTCCTCGATTGCAGACAGCGCCGCCATCCCGTCTTCGTGGCTGAGCAGGCTGCAGGCAAAGAGGTCGACGCGGCCGCCCTCGCACACGGCGTCGCCAAGCGCCATCATCACCCGCGTGACGCCGTGCGTTCGATCGTCCAAGTCCTCTGGGGAGTCGAGGATAACCTTGTTGCTAATCTTCCAGCCCATTCCTTCCACCTCGTCATCGACGGGTGGCCCATGGTTGGCGAGCGCGATGGACGTAAACGCATTGCCCTTGCCGAGACTGCGGGAGGCGGCCTTGATGAGGCCGATAATGCTGCCGGCTGTCGCCGTGTCAAAATTGTACTCCAAAGCGAGCACCGTCGGCTTCAGGCAGTCAACAAAGTCATCCTTGTCCGGCGTATCGCTGCTGAACACGACGAGGCGGTCGAATGACGAAGCCTTTGACGATGGCACTGACGACGGCGGGGGCGCCACTGTTGCGGTGTCGTACGAAAAACTCGGGGCTCTTGCCGTGGTACTTGTACTTGCCGTTGGGTTCGCCTTTGGTGCAGCCTTTGGTGCAGCCCGTGGCGCAGCCTTTGGCGATGCCTTGGCGATCTTTGGCGATGCCTTTGGCGATGCCTTTGGCGATGCCTTTGGCGGACCTCTTGACTTTGGTTTGTAGCTTCCTCTCGCTGAAGCCGCCTTCGGCTGGGCCGAGCAGCAGGAGCTCGACGAACCCATTTTGTCGTCCCTGGCTCGCCGATTCTCGCCGCCGTGTATCTAGAGAGGAAGGGACGGATGATCGGTCCACAGGCATCCCCCCACCTCGCCCCACCCCCACACGATTCTTTCTCAAACCAACCTTCCTGCAGGTGGTGGACGTGCAGCTGCGGATGACGACGCAGGCGCGATCGGCCTGGAGGAGGGGTGGCGCGTAATCCCTGCAGCCCCGCCCGACCCTCCCCGGCACGCCCCCCGCAGGCACTCGGCCTCTGCGTCTTCAACCTGATCGGCACTCTCCTCCTCGTCGTCGCAAACGCGTGGCAGATCTCCTTCGGCCTCCCCCCGCTCGGCGTCGCGTACCTCGTCGTCGCGAGGTACTACCGCGCCTCGTCGCGCGAGCTGCAGCGGATCGACTCCGTCTCAAAGTCGCCCATCTACGCCGCCTTCTCCGAGGCGCTGCAGGGCGCGACCTCCATCGTCGCCTTTGGCGCGACCCGCCGCTTCGGGCTCGAGGCGCGGCAGCGGCTCGACGCAAACATCAAGGTTGGCTTCGCGCGACGGCGGCGGCGAACCGGTGGCTCTCGGTGCGGCTTGAGGCCATCGGCAACGCCATCATCGCTGGCGTGGCCGCCCTCGCCGTCGGGCTGCACGCGGCGGCGCACGCGTCGGGTGGCGGCGGCGCAGCCATGGCGGCGGGGCTGGCGGGGCTCTCCCTCTCGTACGCCGTCTCGCTGACACTTCCGAGACACTTCCGAGACACTTCCGAGACATGTCAGGCTCTCCCTCTCGTATGGGCCCTACCGCGAGGAGGGAGAGGGAGGCGAGGGGGAGGGGGAGGGGGAGGGAGGGGAGTGTGAGGGGTATGGGGGCGAGGGAATGGAGGGAGAGAGGAAGAGCAAGGGCGAGAGGGGGCAGGGGACTGGTCGATGGCATACTAGGGGGGGCAGGGTAGTGGTCGGCGATCGCCGCATACCGTCCTATGGCGGCGAGTATCGCTACGCCAGGGAGGACAAGGACGTCGACGTGCGGCTGCTGCTGTTCGAGTCGTTCGGTGGGTTTGGGAAGGGGGGGTCGGCGAGAACCTCTGGGGGGCGGCGAACGTGCTGCAGAACAAGCTGACGCGGGCGCAGTACCTCTCGATGAGGTGACTTGGACCACCAAGAGCTGGCTGGGGCTGCAGAAGCAGCGCATCTCAGTCGTTCTTCACACGGCCATCGCAGAGCAGATTGTGAATGAGCTTGCCAGCGGCGAGGGCGGTCGAGTGCACGGAGCTAAGTGCCTCGCCGTCCTCGCGGGAGTCGCTTCGGACGGCGACGAAATCGACGGCGGGAAGGGGCGGGGCTGCATGGCGGCGGCGGACGCGCGCACATTTGTCGTGCTTGCGCATTGGCACTCGACGTCCTCCTCGGCGACCTGCGTGCGCGCGGGAACGGCAGGGGTCATTTCGCGCGCACCGGGCGGCGCCGTGCTCGCAGCAGCCGGGATCGCGGCAGAGTATAGTGGAGAGCTCTACCCGCGCACCTGCCCAGCAATGAGCTCGACGCCGCTCCTGGCAGGCGAGGCAGGGATCTCGGCGACGTTGGAGAGCGGGCGCACGATGTCGTGGGCGACGCCCGTCCGCAGCCACGTCGTGGTGACGACGATGGCGAGGAGCATCACGGTGGAGAGGAGCGTCCCGGCGCTGCTTGGGCTCGCTCGAGTTTCCGGTCTGGGCACGGCACGGCATGGGTTTTTTCTTGTATCAGCGTTGGAGGTGGGCCTCCAAGAATTCTTTTCGTCTGTGCGAGATAAGCCGGCCTCACTACACGAGGCATGCAGACGGAGAAGCTCCTCACCGCGGAGAAGGCGACGCCGCAGCCGCATTGGCCGATGCGATGCATCGCGGCAGCAGCGCTCGTCGGCGTCGGCGGGACGCTCCTCGCCGGCACCGGCTCGCTGCCGCCATTCCACCCGCGTCACACCGGGAACTGCCCGGGCAGCGCGGCGGCTTACGAGCTGTCGCATGACTTTTTCGGCGGCGGCGGCTCCTTCTTCGACGAGGCGCAGTGGCAGTACTTCACGCTGCCCGACCCGACCGGCGGACCGACGAGTTACCTCTCGCACGCCGACGCGCTCGAGAGCGGTCTCCTTGAGGAGGGCGACGGGTGGGCGGTGCTGCGGGGCGGGACGCGCGACGCGAGCGACGCGAGCAATCCGCTGCGGCGGAGCGTGCGGATCCACTCGCGCGACGCGTGGGACGGGCGCGAGCAGGGCTTCCTTCTCGAGGTGGGCTACACGCACGTGCCGCACGGCTGCGGCGTCTGGCCCGCGCTGTGGATGTATTGCGACGGCTCGGACCTCGCCGACGCCGCCGACGGGCGGTGCGGACCGTGGCCTCAGAACGGCGAGATCGACCTGCTCGAGTTTGCAAACGAGTTCTTCTCCAAGACCAGGTGCGCGGCGTGTCTAGTGGCTCGGCTCGCCCGCACGTGCGTGCGTCCTAGCCTTCCCTCTGCCGGTCCGCCCATCACGCAGACGTTCGGCCATCGGTAGCGTGGGTCGGCTCGTCCGCGTATAGTTCGCGTAATGGCTTGCCCCCGCTCTCTCCCGCAGCCTCCACTTTGGCGCCGATGCGCAGTGCCGGCTCAACGCGACGGCGGTGCAGGAGTGCGGACCCTTCCTCGACAAGAATGGGATGGGCTTTGACTGCGCCACAGAGTACTTCCCCGCCGCCACCGACTCCCTCTTCCCACATCCGTGGGCCGGGCCGCGCTACGGATGCGCGCCCAATCGGTACGACGCCTGGCCGACCCCCAAAGAGATCAACGCGGCGCCGGGCACATTTGTCTTTGAGTGGTCGAGCAGTTCGATGAAGGTGTGGAACTTTCCTCGCAGCGCGGTGCCCGCCGACCTGGCGGCGGGCAGCCCGGAGCCGTCGACGTGGGACGTCGGCCGCATGTGGTCCTACTACCCGCTGCAGGGCTGCCCCACTGCGAGGGAGCAGCTGAGGCCGCTCAACCTGGTGATCAACATCGCGTATTGCGGCGACTGGGCGGGCGGTGACTGGGAGCGGCAGTTCGACGACGGGTGGGTCGGGCGCGGCTTCCTCTTTAACTGGATGCAGCAGCTGCTCGGCGAGAGCTGCGCCTCGAAGTGGGGCGACTTCGGCGGCGAGCGCAGCGGCGGTGTCGGCAAGCTGACTCAGTCGGGGGCACGGCAGGCATGCAACGCCTTCATCAACGCGCGGGAGAGCGACGCGGGCGTCGCCGAGGAGGCGTACTTCAACTTCACCCGCTTGCGAGTCTACACTGCGCGCGGCGCGGCGCGACGGTAGCGCAGGCGACGCCCCGGGGAGCGGGGGGCGGGAGGTGTACCGTACTGTCGAGTGTCGTCAACGCGTCTTGTCGTGAGGCGAGCCTCATGAACTTGGTGCCCCGACACTCTACGAAACCGGGCGTGCATGACCATGGTGGGAGGAGGTGTCCGTGCGGAGAGAGCTGACCTTTTTTGCAGATACGCAACGCATTCGCACGACAAAAAACGGACAGCCGCGGCCTTCGCCGTTCGGGGTGTTCGGACATCTCCCGGAGCGCTGGCCGCCAGGTGTGGCAGCGTCCGTGCGTCGTCACTCAGCACACGTAAGGTCCCGGCCCTGGGCGCGCCCTTGCATCGCATGCCGCGCATCTAGTGCCCCAGCCTCGGACCACGGCGACGCCTCACTCCGAAATCAGCTGAGCATCGCGCCGACGCACGAAAACGCGAGCCCCAAGGTATTGCGCCCAGCGGACGCATCCCCAGACGCAAAGTCCTCATCGTCCGAGTCTGGCCCCTCCCGGCCAAACTCGCCCCCTGCCATGATTCCTGCCACCGGCCGCTGCGCCGGCGCGCCTTCGGCGGTGTCGCCGGCCGCCACGCTCTGCAGCAGCGACGCGAAGGCGCCCGCGTCCACGTTGCGCCTTCCGTGGTGGCCGTCCGCGCCTGCGGGAGGGGAGAGAGGGCGGCATCGGAGGCGGCGGCAAGGGAGGAGGGAGCGACGGTGGAGGCGGCGGAGGAGGCGGGCAGGGGGGGGGGGGGCAGCCGGCGGGCTGCGGGGCGGCGGGGGCTGCAGGGGGGGGGGGGGGTCCCAATGCAGGGGAGGGGGATCAAATCCCACCCCGGCCGTTGCACCCAAAAACAATAGCGCACCCCGGCCCCCGCGGCGGCCCGGCGGCGGCGGCCAAATGCGTTACCGGGGCCCCCTTGAGGTTTTGCCCCAAATTCCCCCCCCTAACAACCAGGGGGGCGGGCCTTCCCCCCGGAGTCCGGGGGAAGCTCCTTTTCCGGACGTCCCCGACGAGTCCCCAAACCCCCCAAAAGGGGGTTACCCCCTACCT